GGTACGATATATTAGAAAGCTCGCAATCATAAACCTCTCATCCAAACTTGTCAAATTATGAGATTTACGTGATACTATTCTGTGCCCAGCAAAGAAGGACTTGGCTCTCATTGATCCGCTTTGAGATGTATAGGGAATAAAGAATTTACATAAGACTACTTACTATGATTCCAATTTGAACTATTTCATAGCGAAATGACTTGCAGAAGTTCATAGGGTTAAAATCCTTAAAAGGGCCTATAGCATATAAAACTCTCTTTCTATCCATTTCTAGAAGTCTGCTCTAAAATGTAACATATTATCATATCAATTATCATAGAAACCGATGTGTGATCAATTTACCGAAAACTATATCGGAGAATCAGAGCGCCCTATTCAATGATGTAAAATTAACCAGGTTTGTTAACCTTCGCTATTCTTTTGCTTGCAAATCCATAATATGTTTTACCTAGGTTCTATATTCCCGAGGATACCTCGTTAGAGTACATATGTAGTCAAGCAGACGCAAACGGGTTGCACACCTGCTCTAACCTGCCTCCATATACAGTAGATGGAGTAAAGTAAGGATTTTCGCAGACATTTTTGACTAGAAAAACTGCTACCGTATCTAAAATCATACAGGTGCAATTTAACCATAGAAGATTTTGATCGAGTTAGTGAAAAAGCGTGTATCAACTGGAATATCTATTACAACGAGTGCCAGGTAAGCATTAAATAAGTTTTTTTCCTGTGAGATCGCAGCTGACCACTATAAAATGATCCTAAAAGTTACTTGGGCTGCAGATGCATAGTTTATCATTTTTGTGCTTTATTACTTTAGCATGCTTTTTTCTCGAGCATGTTTTCCATGTTCTTATTCCTATGGAATAAATTTCTTTTCATTTCGAAATTGTGTTTTAAGGTTATGCAACGGAACCCATTTCAAGGCTCAGTATCATTTGACAATATAGGATTCGCATGGGTAGCAATCTTTCTTGTAAGCAATTTCTTCTTATACTTTGAGTTGTGCTGCTTCTCTACAACTGTTTTAAAGATATAAGTACATTTTTACTACTACCGAGATTTCACAAAATTGATTATTTTTTGCATTCTAACGCGATTCGTAAGCTGTTTAAAACTAAGAAACCGAAATTTGGATTTTGCCGTGGGAATTACCTTTCCTGTTTTAAGCTTTACTCATAACCTGTTCGCGCTTTCAGCAAATGTTGTCAACCTCCTTTTTGGAAAAAAAAGTACTCCCTCTGTATTCATCTAAACCATCACTTACATGAAACATCGTAAAAATGCAACATCCTTCAATTTTGGGACATATAATAATTAAGTGCCAAAACCCTTCTTTCCTTGAACAAATGACCGTTCTCCTGTTGAAAATATAACTGTTTTCTTTGCACGGAAAATGAGTGGCACCTATTCACGTTGGACATAACAACAACGCATGAATGCGCATTTTGTGTGCTGAAGAATTTAGTAAACAAATCTTTTGTTATGGTTATTTCATGTACTTTTTTAAGGATAGCTCAAAAAAAAATAG